ATTTCGTTGATGGATCAACAAATGCAATCGCAGAAATCTGTTTATCTACCGTGCCTGCATTCTAAAAGACCGACCTGCAGACTAAAGAACATTTTCTCCGGCCGGAAGAAAGGCGATTTTACTACTTGAACGTTTTCAGTAAAGCTCTATCAGGTATATATCCTTCCGCCAATTCCTCATTTCGTCATGTGTTTTGCGTTCGAGTCGTGGTACTTTTTACATCTGAGCGTCGTTTAGGCCGCACACCTTAAAACAGTCATTAAGAAAGGCTCGCTGCACAGGGTGAAGCATAAATTCAAAAAGATTGCCGAAACAGACTCCGATTAAGGCTATTTATTTTGAACTTTAGACAAAATGCCTGGAAGAAATCAAAAATTAGGAGCAGAGGTAGATGTTATGTAAAAAGTCAAACACAAGTTTTGTTACGTCGGGCCTGAATAACTCCTCCTTCTCCCTGCAGTTGGAGACAGCCACCTCTTTTTAGGAGTCGGTGCGTATTCCACTTGCATATAGATTAAAGGTCTTGATGAATTCGTCCGATGGTGGATTAGTCATGAAGGGTACTGCTCGGTCAATGCGTCCGTCGATGACGTTGGGTCTTTGCAGGCCCAGAAGACCGCAAATCAGAGGGTAGATGTCAATCTGATCGTATTTCTGAATACCCTCCATATGCTTTATGCCCGGCCCGTACGCGACGAGGAATGGATGCATCTCGCGGTATTCATTATCGTAACCATGCATTCCAAGCGGAGCTACAATTGATACATAAATATGAAGAGCTCGAGTCCAGTTACTCGTCTCTTTTTTTAGAGTTGGGACTAACTTAAGTTTTATTTGGCAACCTTACCAAAAATGTGTGTTCATTATCTTAGTGCGCAAAACATGTGTGGAATTCTCTTAAGTCATTCAAACTTTCCTAGAATGCGCGGTTAAATTTGTATTTTTTCTATTTCTGAAGGAAAAATCTGTACGAATAATTGCCCCAAGCAAACCTCATATGTAGAATGCAATTTTTTAAATAAACTACTATCAGTTAAGTATACAAAATGATTTTGCTGCTGGGCAAATATACTCATTTTAATGTCCTATTTACTGTCCTATTTATCTGTCTATCTGTCTGACAATTTCGGTCTGCGCCTTAAGACCTAAAATACACTGATATATACCACGAACAGAAATTAATTTTTCAGGAGATTAAAAAGCTGCACTTTCAAAACCGGTATGTCAACCAGAAAGCAGACATGGCAAGTTTGGAGACCCACTGATGAGCCAGACCCCTCGCAGCTGTGCCAAGTAGCGGCAGAATACCGACGAAACACATGTCTGGGCCTTTTAGCTAGTACCTGGGCCGTAATTAAGGTAAGTTACAACATTAATTGTCTATTTTCTTTAAAAATTGTCAGTATATTTAGTTAGCACAGGCAACACGTACAGACATTTAGTTGGTAAAGGATGGCATTTAAACACGTTTAACACGCCTTATTTTCAAAATGTGCTCATACTTCAATAGAACTTTAGGTGAATTAACATATAGGCTATCTTTCAATTCGTGTGCAAATATTACTTTCTAAACAATTCCCATATCTATAAAATAAAATGACATAATTTTCAGAACTTAAAACTGGGAATGCGGAAAGCAAAGCGAGCTTGGACCCCTTATATACTTACGAATCCGACTATTTTGGAATAAGCATACGAAAACTACCTGATACCTAGATAACTTTCGTACAATATACCATAGAACCCATTAGCTAATTTATTCCATGTTTTAATGAAAATTAATAAAAGGTCTTCTTCATCGTGTTCCCAGTTTCCCAGTTACTATTGGTCCACATTAGGAAAAAATGAATTTTTCTTGCATACAAAAGCCAGCTTGGCTCAAGTAATACTTAAAACGCTTTTCAAATCTAATTAAAATAAATTTATTCATATAAGCCGCGGTACAAAATGTACACGTCTATTTTATTACAAGGTATATTTATATTTTTTGTAAAAGATTACTCACAGCCTGTCTTAACTTATTGCACAGATATAGAATGAAGCCTTGGGCTATCACATACGCCGTCATAGGCCGTCATGAAAGGAGAGTGAAATTTTGCACTTACGATTTTCTGTGAAATAATTTGGTTTGAGCTTTATTAGATATCCAAGATCTGCGACGGCTAAAATGGGTGGCATTCGGTAGCTTCTTCCGTAGTGATATTTTTCTGGAATTGTCTCCTTCCGATAGACAGTTAGGTTCGCCAAATTTGTTCTATTTAGAGCATCGAAGATGGAGTCGGCTGTTGCAGCTGAAAGTTCAGAAAACGTATAATGTAAAACCTGGCTCAATAATTGTCTTGATGGATAACTGAGTGGGTAGGCTGGAATACATTTAGTTTGATTATTTTTTGAACTGCTTTGAGGCTGATAAGGACACTTTTTCAGAAATAAAATTGTATTTTTAATCCGTTTTACTGAATGAAAATTAGCTAGCGTTTGACGAAATCGGAGGTTCCCTGATAGTCACAGATCAAATCTTGTTTTATCTGTATTAAGTTGGGCTATAAAGCAAAAATAATTCCTTGTGTATCCGGAAAATCTGATGTCACGTGAATAATAATTAGGTGACCACAGACATATTCCAGAGTAACATTTAATTTTCTGAAGAATACTCACACTCCACTGCTCACTAGTTATTTATCCAGCCTTTTGATTTTTAAACATAGCCCCTGAATGCTGTCTTCATTGGTCGATATTTTGTTATAATTATAGCCGATATTACAGCAACACTTTAAATCAGTCAAGCAATTTGCTGATTACATTCTTGCTGTAGTTGCTCATCCACTCGACCCTGAATTACATCAGCACATCGGCTCCCAATCCTAGCACGCTACCTCACATGAAAAGAAACGGAAATCCAGAAGCTGGGATTTGACTTGTCTCCATAATATATGTGGATTTCATCTATACCTTTTGATTGTTGATTAATTTACTAACTTACACCTTGGTCTGAGCGAATGGAGTTATTTGTTGCATTATATTTTATCTGTCTACGGTCAGTTATTGTAGGTCTTCAATAAGTTTCTTGTATGATTTGATAGTTCTAAATAAAGCTAAGTATCTTTTAGGCCAGTTGGCTATAAGATACACGTCAATCTATGTCTTTCACACAAAACGGTTGTTTTTTACCGCAGTTTAAATGTTGTGCATACGGGGGAGAGGTCTCAAATGGTGTGTAGCATCTATTTAAAAAATCAAAGCTTTAATAGTCTATTGCTTGCTGACCTTTTCAAATAAAGAGTTGGAAACATGAAGCTACTGAATTGTTAAGCCGCGAAACAGCTTCGAAATTTGCTTACGTGCTTTCGGCCAAAGGCCAACAACGGGAGGCGAGACATTGCCGTCGTAACTCTCGGGAGAAACAGCGTCGTACAGCTTGATTCTGTTTTCCAATGGTATTTGCGCCATTCCATGATCGGCCGTGACAATTAGGTTAACCTTGTCGTTGAGTGCGGGATGCGACTTAATTCTTTGCAGTAGGTAGGCGATTCCGTCATTGACCTCCGCAATTGCTTTCTGAACCTCCTGTGAATCAGGTCCGTGAGCGTGCCCAGAATGATCCGGTTCATTGAAATAAAAGGCACAAAACGTGAACTCATCGCGAGTTATCCAGTCCATCAGACGATCGACGCGGTATTGAAAGCTGGGAGCATCACTGTAGAGACCACTGGTTGCGAAGGGGTACTTTTCCTTATAGGGCTGATTGCTTCCCGGCCAGTAGAAGACACAACTGCGATTCCCGTGTCTTTGATTGGTCAGCCAGATGGGCTCATTGTTGTTATACTCAAGCCATTTCGGATCCATTTGTTGCGTTGCATTTTTGTAGGAGAAAGACTCCTTGAATATGGGGTCTCTGAACTGGTTATTGTAGAGCCCATGGTTCTCCACGTACCGCCCCGTAGCGATGGCATAGTGCGTGGGGAAGGTAATGGTTATGAAGACGTTCTGGACCTCGGCTCTGAAACCGGCCTTTACAATCTCCTCGAAGGCGCTGACATTCGTGCCCTTCTCTTTGGCAATATCTATGTAGTCCCATCGAAATCCATCCAGGGAGACGAGAATGACCTTAGCTTCACAAGATGAACAGAGCAGGAGCAGAGCCAACACCCCAGCGATGAGGCCGGCAGCCTTCATGTTTCCTTCTGTCGTCTTCTAGAAGCTATGGTGCTGTTAACTAGATGCATGATATATGTTTGAGAAGGCGTCAGCCTAAAGAACCTTTGGCACCCTGGTTTCACCAACTGAGTGCGTGTTCGCCACAGCGAGTCTCTGCAGTTAACTTGGAGTACAACATGTGCAAGATCTGAAATGCTGCTTAAATGATGCTGAAGCCGAGATGGCTTGATAGAGGGTTTTCTGTTCGGCACTCCGCTACAATGCGTACCTCAGCTTAATGGAAGAAACCTCCTAGCAGGTTTCTCAACCCAGAATTAGAAGACACCCCAGAAGAACACAAAGACACCTAAATAATAATCGATCTTACTTCTACAAAAAAGACTCAAGCTTTATTGTCTGTAGATAATGTAGTGTAAGTGTGTGAATAAAGTACGAGGATCAGAAAATATGTTGTAACCGAGTGTGTTTCTGTGTCAACACCGTTTATGTTCCCTCAGTGCTGTTAGAAAGAGAAGACAGGATGGGATAACAACTAGTAATTTACTGTCACCAGTACTAGTACATGAACTCTGGTCTGTGTGTCCAGCAGTAGTCTTCGGTGGTCGGTCTCGTCTAGGCAGCAGTCTCGTCTAGGCAGCTTGTCCACAACAGAGTCCCCGTTCTGCTAGCGCCTCGCTATTTAAAGGGCAGTCGTTATTGCTCCCCATTGGCTCTCCAGTGGTCGTGCGCACTCCACCAACGGTTGCCTGTGCGTCTGTCCTCAACGTGACCTCACTCGGCTCGGCTCCCAGTGCAGTCTCGCTTGAACGTGCCTCCTTTGTCCTGACCTAATATTCGATCTTTGAAGGCCGCTTGTAACTGCATGAACCGGTCCTCAGTAAGGAATCTTTGTTCTGGTACTCTCTGGATTGCCCGACTGATAACTCGCGTCCGGGGCATCCCAACAAAATATCAGTAAATTAAAGAAAAAGCTCTAGTCAATCTGAAAGGCTTCCCAAATACACTTAATCCTAGTCATAGTTATTAGAAAGGAAATTTCAGTTAAAGTTAAATACGTAGTAGTTGTGAGAAGTTGATTAGAAATAACCAGTTTATTAAGAAATTTGTAAGCATCATTCAAGCATAAATTGCTTACCTGACCTAATGTCCATCTATGTCTGCAAATGAGTATCCAAAATAGCGTGAATGCAACCCGTGTTGGATGATCCTTGGGGGTGCTATCCATCAAGCATTACGTTATACCTTATTGTGAATTTATGCCATTACATTTCGAAAAAAACACACTTGGATTCTTTTATATTAATTAATGTGCGTTTCAGTAGATCGATACTCACCTAACATGAGTTTGGATATTTTTTTTTACCGGAATTGAATTTTCCCTAGATGTTGACCAGTTACGAATGATGAGGTGCAATTTGCAGGCTCGTACATGTTTCCGAGTAGAAAAATTATTATACTACTTTTGACGACGATGTCAGAGAGAGATAGACACGCTTTCTTTCAAGAATATCATTCAAAATGTTCAGCAAAACTGTCCTCCATTCACAGAAAATAAGACAAGATGAACAAACCCACAGCACCGGGAAATCAAAAGCAATCCATAATCGTCAATGATTGCAATTGTCGACATCGTGGACTAGATTTCCTTGGAATATTTGTCAAATAAAGGCAAAATTGGACTGCTTTCAAAGCGGTGCTAGCTTCCAGCACTGATGATGTCATTGTAGTTCACACAAATAAAGAGGGCAAAAAAATCGATTTATAATGGGCAAAATAGGCCAACTCACGTGTACATAAGAAATTTACGGGCAAATTGAAGGAGGAAGAAACTGCGGCTTAAGTTAAAAAGCCCTCTCAATGCTAAAATGGTGGTGGTGGACCCTGTACGATAGACAGTGTCTTCAGAATTATGAATTATTCGGGTTGTCTTTACCGGTACTATCCAAATGTTTGATGGGTTTTGAACTTTTTTCACCTTACAATTACACTTCCCGCAGATGGGACTTTGGAAAAGCCTCTTCGGTGTAGAGAATGCAGTTCTCAAATATAGGCAAGTGACGTCCTGAAAAAATTCTTCATTCGGGGCACTTCGAATACTTCTACTTCATCGAACACAAGAAGTAGGGGAACTTGAAATTTCGTTCCGCGTACGCAGCAAATCGGAATTTGTGACTGAGCACCCTCCATAGCTTTCGGTAAACAAAGAAAAAAATGCATAAATCTGCATTAATGCCCATCAGAGAATTTAGAATTCTTCTGAAAAATGAATTGAAGTAGTAGCGTTGCTCTTCGTCGAGGTTCTTGTTAATCAATGAGAAAATCGTTGTTCCACGGAGTCTGAAGCAAAGTTAATAGGCCTAAACATTTGAGAGAGTTTTGTCCGTACTCTTTCGATCCCTTTTTGACACTTTAAGCAATATGTCTTTCATGCATATGCAGTTCATCAATCCTTTCCTTTGAATGACGTCCTCCTGTATTGAGTTATTTTTTCGCCTGCCTAAAAAGTTTCCATTTTTTACAACTATTTTCTAAAAAAAGAAATCATTCGCGGTCGACTAAGTTGAACGGAATTTGTCTTTTTCTACAATTATGAAAGGTTACTTGTTTGAACAACTTTGACCGCAGAGCTTGTTTTCAAAAGTGTTTTTTCCAAGCACAGTTGGTATATTATTTGCTCCCCTTTCCACATGGACATACATAATGGCCGTCAGACCGATATAAGCCTCAGACGTTAACTGAAATTCGTGCTCAACTTATCCCTAACGAGCAAAGAAATCAATTCCTACGATAAGTAAACAGATGAAAGTACACTTACATCGTTTGTGATTGAGCAGAGGACGCCACAGTCGAAGTTTTCATCCACCTTCAAATGCGGCGTGTTTTTATTCATTATTAACAGGGCAAATTATTTGCCAGTTATCCGCCAACACCATAATAGGGAATATGCGGGACCCCTAATCGGCGGCATTTATCCCTCACTGCATCATTGTGGACAACTTCGCACAACTTGAGCGCGCCGTCTAATAAGTGATCCAGTTGAATATCATCGGTGCACTGCAGATCTGCAGAGCCTG